GTAAAATGATGTAAGTTTATTGTTATGGTAAGCTATTTGTTGGAGGGGGGAATTAAAGAATGGATTCATAACAGTATAATGTGAGTGTTTCATGGACTCACCTATTTTCTCCATCTTTGTAACTAAGAGAAAAGCCCAAGATTTATGTAGATTTTAATGCTGAGATGTAGCAAATGTGAATAAACAATAACAATCCTTTTCCAGTCAAATAAGAGTTCATTACGCGAGAATTTCAATACTGTGCCCAACACTGGTTTTCGTGTTTTTATCAGCAGAGCGAGTGGTAACTCTCATACGTTAAATGCCAGTTGTAAGTGTCCCGTTTCTTGCCACCCTTCCTGATTCCCTCAATATAAGCCCTCACCCATCTAACTTATCTATGTCGAAATCCTCACAGAACATGGTTGACATGGTTCTTTACATACAAATTAGTCAAAATAACATGCCTGTGAAAGAATTAGATTTCTTGTCCAATGTAAGCCCTGTCCTGCTTATAGATTAAGCCATCTCAGTCATAAGCCCACCCCACACACGACGAGATTCATGAGGTTCTGAAATAGCTGTCCCCTGCTGACTGCGCTAGTGAATAGCGAAAACTCAGGGGGAAATCTAGTTTTAATCCTAACCGCAGGGTAAAAATGATTTGATGCTTCTTGACAAGAAACGTGTTAATGTCGGCATCTACCTGTCAACGTAATCACAGGGAAAAATTGGTCGTTAATTAAAAACCTCCCAGTTTTCTGGGAACGTTTATAGCACTAATCCACTGTGCTCAGACTTATATATAAAGCAATGGTTCACTTTCCGTCTATAATAATATACATGAAAAAATTACTCGATTCTGATTGACTGAGAGCAGTGCCGTTCAAGTGTAACACCAGTGCAAAAATGTAACAACGGTGCAAAAAGTGTAACACCAGTGCAAATTACACATCGTAATTCTGAATTATGATTGGCTGAAACACAATAGGAAATTTTCTAAGCCAATGATATTACATAAAATGATGAAAATTTTGTGCGGAAACTTTGAAAAAAGTTTTATCGAATGAGAGAAAATGGCTTCAAGAAAGATCTTCGGGCGCTTCCTGCACGCGAATTTTTTCATGTTTATATTATCAATAAGTAATCAAACGGTTTTTCTTGTTCAATTTGGCATTAATTTGCACTTGTGAGTTTTTCAGAAAGCTGAAATTGCACTCACCGAAGCGGCTAGTGCAATTTCAGCTTTTTGAAAAACTCACTCGTGCAAATTAATTAATTCCAAATTGAACAAGAAAAACCATATGATTGCCTTGTTTTTGCTCAATATTCAAGCAAGCAGTGACAAAAAAAGCAGAGCTAGTATTGTCAGTATTGTTAATAGTTTATGTAATGTCAGAATCGTAAGTAATGTTAGTATTGCAAGTAACGATAATATTGCAAAAGTAGCGTCATTATTGTAAGTAATATTAATATTGTAAGTAATGATCAAGAGATTATCAAGGTAATTACCTCGATAATCTCTTGTAGTGATGTAAGTAATGTTAGCATTGTATGTAACGTTAGTATGGTGAAGTACCAGTCTTCCAATAAATTAAAATTTTTTTTTTTGATGAAATAAAAAATAATAATAATAATCGACTGTATCGTGGATTGTTTATACTACCCAGTGTCTATAATCGCGGCAGCTGGGAACAATGTTAACAGATTTTCGACGGAAAGCGCTTTTCAAATCTCTTGAGAGTATATCCTATGTTTCTTTGGATGTGGTGAGCGATTGCTTGAGTCATTTTGGTTTTCTAGTTCGCGAATTATTGAAGGTTGGGCATATTATAAAATGGCTGTCTCGCCGACTTCAAAAATTTATGAGGAGATTGAAAGTTGGAGAATATTACAGAACTTCGACGAAAAGACTCGTTCAAATGTTGCAAGAGTACTTGATGTTTATTAAGAAATAGTGATTCCTAATACTGTTTGGGCTTTGTTGTGAACGAATCTTCTCTGTTTGGCTTTACTAACAGAACACTCAGAATGATCTACTGTCACCTCCCAGGTAAAGGCTATGACCTCAACTGACTTGATGCCCGATAGTGCGAAATTGCTGCAAAATTTCATCCACATTAATCCCATGAAACCATTTTTTTCAGAATTGCCTAGAGAATCAAGGGACTATTTTGGTTGCGCAGGTTTTTTACTTCTGCTAAAATATTGTTAGTGAACTTGGCGATTTTTACAGTGTGCTTAGTCCCTCTCTCCCCGGAGGGGTGAGAGATTCTCGCCCATATCAACTTCCTTTTCTCTCGTAAGTTCCTGGCGCGTTTACAGATGTGCCACACTCGCGTTTTAGGTGCGGTGATCCCAACCAATGCTACTTCTAGCGCTCTCCCAAATCTACACACGTGTATTTCACTCATGTGGAAGTCTTTCGATTTGGACAGTGCTTGGGTGAGAGATTTTTGCCCATATCAACTTTCTTTTCTCTCGTAAGTTCTCGCACGTTTAAAGATGCACCACACTGGCGTTTTAGCTGCAAGGATCCCAACCAATGCTTACCTAACTTTTTAAATATCCTACTTTTAGCCCTCCCCCAAATCTACAAACGCGTATTTCACTTGCGCAAATCTTTCGACTTGCACACTGCTTGGGTGAGAGATTCTTGCCCATGTCATATTTCTTTTCTTTCGTAAGTTCTCGCGCGTTCAGAGATGCGCCACACCCGCGTTTTAGGTGCGGGGATCTTAACCAATGCTTACTTAACTTTTTGAAGATGCTACTTTTAGCCCACCCCCAAATCTACACGCGTGTATTTCACTTGTGGAAGTCTTTCGCTTTAAACAATGCTTCGGTTAAAGATTCTCGCCCATTTATATCTTTTTCACTCGCGTGTTTTCGCCCGTTTAGCAATGCGGCACACGCGCGTTTTTTGTGTGGGGATCCCAAACTATGCTTACGGGGCTCTTTAAAAATGCTAGTTTTGGCCCTCCCCGAAATCTACACAAGTGTATTTCACTTGTGGAAGTCTATCGATTTGGACAGTGCTTGGGTTAGATATTCTTT